TATTGATAAAATATATAAAAAAATAAAAATTATTATAAAATTAATTAAAAAATCTAATTTTTCATAATACCTGCTTCCTTTTCCATTGCTTTAGCAGTTTTTTTTAGTTAAAGTAATTGCATTAGTGTATCGAATGCTACCTTTACTTAAATTAAGTTTAGCTGTATCATGTACAATTTGTGTTAACCAACACCATATTAAATTTGATGTTATTTTAATAGCAACACTATATTCAGGATAAATAAAATACCCTTCTTTAACTACACTAATTTTATAAACAAATCCTATTGCAAATTCTAATCTATCCTTATCCCAATATTCTGCAGCTTCATAGTTTTCTACACAAAATACTGCACCTATTTTCTGTTAATTATTTAAATTTACTTTTTGCTTAAATACTTTCATATGATAATACTGATTATGGTACATGATCCTCATTTTATATAACCATTTTCCAAAACTATCTTCATCTTCATCATATATTCTTTAAATCTCTGGATTATGATTTTATTTTTATATACATATAAATCAGTAGTTGATGGATCTAAAAAATTTGCATGAAGACCATGACCAATTAATTTTCCTGAATCAGCATATATTTTTTGTTTACAATTAATTTTAGGATGTGTATCATAGGTAAGTTTCATTTTAAGCCCAAAATGATTTGCAACATTTTTTTTTGCAACATTACGAATTACTTCTCCAATAATTTTATTATGACATTTTAACAGAACAGATTGACTTTCATTAATAATAATAAAGTCCTTTTCTTTTTCAATATCTTTGCAAGTAATAAATTTATGAAGATATTTTTCAGCTAAATTAATCTATGATTTACATTCAAATTATATAATGTTTTAATAACTCTATCAAATTCTTTAGAAAGAACTTTAATTTGATTTTGCCAACTTAAAAAATAAATCTTTACAAAAATCTTTATTTTGATTCTTAGTTACATATCAATCAAAAACAGATATAGGATTCTATTAAAATTAATAATAAATAAAATAAATATATAATTTTTTAATTTTTAAAATATAAAAATCTATTGATCCTAATAAAACCTAAGTTAGCATATGCTAAAAGCATATGTGGGAGGAAATATACGACTCTTAAAGCTATATAGATATAAAATCATATTATAAATCATGTGATTTATAATTTAATCTTAATAGTAACTGATCTATATATTTGAAAGTATATCACAAGTGACTATTGAATACATACTGACACACTTTTCGTAGCCATTTTGAAAGCACCTTTCCTAAGCTAGTTAATTGTTTCTGTTCGCTCTCATGATATTTAATTTCGTTAGTTATATCCAAGAATTTTTCAGCAACAACCTTTTTTAGGGATTTCATTCCTGGAACAACTTTCGGAATCATTGTATCGAACATTTCAAGAGTGAGAATCGGCTTATGGGGAGTCGAAAGCCATTCCATTCTTCTTTTTTTCATTTGACGTCCGAAATCTGGAAAATTGTCCCCTGATATTCCCTTTGTTGTTCATATCATCATTAGCCTTAAAAATCTTACTTAAATCTTTTGTAATTGCGATATGCTTACCGTCTCACTCTCCTTATTTACGCCATCCTTGATTAGACAATGCTTCCGTAAGCTCATTGCTAGCCCTGAAATTGTGCTGAAATTAAAAAGAAATGGCGCATCTCAATACCTGCAGAAGATTTCTGTCATAATCTAGGAAGGGATTTTCGTCATCCTTGTCAATTTGGGGCTGAACCAGCATAAGAATTAGAGCTATTCCATACTAGTAAATCAACTGTTAATAATTGACTTACTCTCATTTTATAATCAACAAGTTTTTCGACACGGTCATTCGTAACTCGGTCAAGCATACTATGCGCTTTAATCATTTCTACAGCCTGATTCACCTTGCTGAGGACTGCTTTATTTTTCCAAAGGTTTCTGATCGATTTGATATTCTCCTTGCCAACGTGAAGGAAAGAGAAAAGGGTGTTAGCAACATGATTTGGACGCAAGGAAACGTAGAGCAAAAATGTTGGCAAAAAGTAAGTGGAGAATCTCCGCTTGCCCACCCTTCCCAATCCGCAATCAGTAAAGGGCAGCAAGTGATTGGGTAGAATGTGGCTATCAATCTCTTAAGACGCACTTATGAGAAGGTCTCCCAATTCGGCAAGTTTGCATGAGACGCACTCGACCCCTTTCGAGACGCACTCAGTGGAGGTTTGCAAAGCGATTTTCTATTTAATGTGATTTGAAACAACTTACCTTTTTATTATTCAGGAGGCGACGAGCATAAATAATATGTTCTTGGGTGGATGATCCATTAAGAAGAATTCTATTTAAATATTTGTAAAACGCTTGGTGGGCTATTTTTTGCTGTACGCCGGCGACATTTGATATTGCCCATAAATCAAAGTCAACAAGTGACCAATGATTGGGGTCGGTATTAAAAGAATCAAAATACTCATTGTACCTTTTGCCTGTGGAAACAGTCAGCATTTAAAGTAGACATATGAAACAAGAGCATTTTAAGTCGAGACAAATCTGTCATTTAGAATAATGTAGCAAGAGAAGATTTGGTTTATTCGTCACAAGCGACAAAATAAAAAGTGAGACGTGACAAAGGGAGACTTTCTTCAAATTGGTTTAAAATGTTGATCAGAACCAGGGACCCGTAAAATTTTCAAAAATAATTTTTTAAAATAAATCGAAAGATTTGGCTTAAATCGAAATTTTTTAAAATAAAAATTTTTTTTATGATAT